TCGGCTTTGAAGTATTTAGAACACATAAATTATGATGATCAAGGATATCTAACATTAGATCTCCATTAGGATTAGAAAAAGAGCTACCCCAGGATTGATGATGACAGTTAAAATCACCCATAACCAAAAATGGCTTTTTCAGTGAAGATAAGAGATGATTAACTTCATTTAAAACTTGTTGAGATGGGTGAGGAACATAAATAGATACATAACAAACATTATTGTATGAAATCGCAATTGCCGAAAAGTTATCAGAGTGTGGAGGCAGTGGAACATACGTGAAAATAACAGTTTTTTTTAATTAAGATTGCTACACCACCATATCCATCCAATCTGTCTTTTCTATGGCAAATGTATCCTTGCATATTAAATGATAAATTTGGCCGCAGCCAAGTCTCCGAAAGAGAGATAAGGAAAGGATTAAATTTGTTAATCAAATATATCAATTCACTTTTTTTATTAACTATGCTCCTGCAATTCCATTGTATAACTTTGGCTTGATTGTCCATTGTTAAGAATTTGTTTAAGAATATCAAATGTTTGAGCAACGTTGTTCGGTGAAATTATTTTACTTAGTAACAAAGAATTAATTAAAGGAATTACAACATCTGTAAATATGTCTTGTTTTTCATTCCCATTGGGTGTTAATGCACATCCGTTAGACGACATTGGGATTTCAAAGTCCTTAATTAGAGCTTGATGAGCTGCTTTGTCATAGCCTTTGTTGAAATGGGGAAGAGGTCGAGTTTTTAAAGAAAGTGTCTTTTTATATGAGTTTTTCAATGGTTGGTTAATATGTGATGACAAAGAATGTTGTGGCCTCATAGACTCAGCTGAATATGTGCTAGAGGGAACAGATTTAAGAATGTCAACATCATAAGACTTAGTGACAGGGGGGAGCATTTTGGAAGCCTCTGCATATGAGATGCAGTTTTGTGCCATGGTCAATTTTATTTGTTTTTGTCTAGCCCATTCAGGACATGATTTGCTAATAGCAAAATGTGACCCAGAACAAAGGAAACAGAAAGCACAGTCATCATCTTTATTGCAAGAGTCACTTGTATGAACATCTCCACACTTAAAGCAGTGTGGTTTGGACCTACATTGAATTTTAGTGTGACCATATCGACAGCAGTTGTAACATTGTATAGTAGGATATGTGTAAAGTTCGACAGATAAAGCATTATAGCACATATAAATGTGTTTTGGAAGAACCTGACCATCAAATGTTATAACTACTGTCTGTGAAGGTTTCCAAACTGGAGACCCATCAACAGTTGTTTTATAATTTAATCGTCTTATTTTTAAAATTTCACCACAACCCATTGGCACAGTTATGTTATTTTTAATTTCATCTGGGGACCATTCAGCTGGCACTCCTCTTACAATACCCATCCTAGTTATGTTGAAGGTTGGAATAAAGGCTTTTAATTTCTGTGTAGACAAAGAAGGATGATTAATAAAAGTGTTAGCATCAGTAAAATTGGAAAATGCAAGGGAAATCTTGTTCCTACCAATTTTTTTTTATACTGCCATTGATGATATTCCTAAATGCATTTTTTTTTAGAAAATTGCCAAAGGACACAGGGTGGAATGAAGTACCATCATTAAATGAAGATACTTCTTTTTGAACATGTATAATATAAGGTGATAAGTCACTGTTTTGGTAAATCTTTCTATATTCGACACTAAGTTGCTCGGGCTCTTTTGATTCTGTTGTTACTGGTGATGCAACATTATTTAGAATGGTGCTGTTCTCATCACTATCGCAATGACAGGCATGCTTAGTTTGGTCATTCTTAGTACCAGAATGACTGCTCCTCCTTTTTTTATTGCAATGTTTGCAAATTTTCTGCAAACGTGAGCGTTTTCTAATGATAAGAGTATTCGACGCATCAGTGTCCATACAAGACTCGCCATTAGAAACTTCTACATTGTACGCAACCTCGGGGACTCCACCCCCGGGATCAGGGGGTTCATTCATTATAATAAAATATATAAAACTTACCTAGGTATAGAAATTAAACTATTACTATTAATAATTAACTACACAAAGTAAAAAAAAAATTACATATATACACAAAACTTCTCTGATTATTATCACTAAAATTAAATAAATGTGATTTAGAGAAAAAAACGCGCGCTTAGCTTTCAAAGTTTCCCGCCTTTTTTTTTCCTGAATATATTATTATCGGCTGAAACAAAGTCGTAGTGATGTGGATCGTTCCCGCTTTGAGAGTTGACGAAAGAAAACCGTTTAGGAAATCGGGCAGCGAAAAACTGGTTGATGAAAGCAAAGCAAAAAGCTTGCCCGTTAACTAGTAAATAATGTGCATAATGAATTACTTTATCCCCAGTCGTATGAATAAAATCCAAAGCTTAATGATTTTTGCGTTACGGAAAAAGTATTTAAGTTTCCATATTTTCTAAAATTAGCAACGTTGATGAACATTATTTTTTTAGCGCCAAAACTTTGTAATGTCAAAAAGTCAATGTTGATGGCAAAATAAAACACAGATTTTATAGATTTTGTATTAAACTTACACGTTTATTCTCTACTTACAGGATTCGATTTCTGCCAAATGAAATGTCGAATTGTACAACCATACAATTCTTACAAATCCCATACAGACTTAAAAAGTTTGTTTCACTAGAAAAATTTAATTCCAAAAGGTGATTGATATACCTCGTGCATGCGGTTGAGATATATAAATCAAATTCTCACGCAAGGCAGTGTCATGTAAATTATAAATATTTAAACAAACATTTTAAAGGAAAATGATGTCAATTGTAAATATTTAAAATTAATTAGGTCATATTAGCCTTATAAAAATATAAACTAACGATGTGTTCGAATATTGCTTTTGGATTTTCGACTAAAATTAATATTGCACCTACACATTTATCCTTTGACTATTACGCCCCTAAAAAGAATATAAAATTAGGTCGAGGAGTATATTAGGAGAGAAAAATATCCGCTATGTTGTTCATTTACTTCCTAAATAGCATTATCACTAACACGAGTTATTGCTTAATGATAATTATGACTAATTTATAAATTCATTTGTATGGATGTGGTGTTCTCACTTTAAACAATAAAGGGCCCTCTCTTAACTTGATATTTAAACGATGCACAACCACAACAGGTTTATGATTAGGTTATCTATCATGTAAAAGAATAAAATAATGATATTGTTTATGGTTGTTTTTAACGCTTATAGGATCTGCTTCAAAAAGCTGTTTCGTTAACGTTTAGCAGTTTTTAGTGCGATTTCAAGCGTTAAGATTAGTTCGGAATGACGTTATAAAATAATAATATCGAGTGATTATTGAGTGACAAGCCTTGATGAAACAAACCATAGCTATACTAAACTTAGTAAGGTTGCAAACGTGCTTGATTTTATATGCAATAAACTATACAGTATTGTATTTAAAAATAGATAAAGACATCAAAATTTATAAAAAATAATTTTTAAAACAATATTTCCCGCCCCTGTACGCAATACGAATTTAAGCTAATAAACTTATGAAAGTTTTAAAAATTGAACAATTTCACATTTTCAAGTTACTAATTGTAAATGGATATAAATTTATGAGGCTTTAACGTAGATTTATAGGAATAGAAGATTTTATTGTAAAATTAATACCAATGCTAAATGCTATACTTGTGGACAATAAACAAGTCTTAAAAAACTTAGATTAGATTGAAAATATTAATATACCTATATATGTCTTATAAAATTTAATTCAAGTAGATTAAACTCATCTGAAAAACAGTAGATATTTAAAGTATTGCGTGTTTAAAAGCGCAAATATATGTATAAATGTTACCTATTTTAATATAAATCATATAGATATTTATTCTATTGGGGCGATGTTTTAAAACGATCCTTAAATACTAAACACGTATTTTTTAAGAAATCTCGAAACATCAATGTCTAGATGTCATACATTAAGGCCATATACATTTATAAAACTAATATAAAAGGCATATTCACTTATAAAATTCGTGAATAATTGGGCTGTTAAAAATATTTACGTAAAAAATTCCTTGCCTTAACCTGTCATGCAATATTAAAAAGCGTTATTTACATTTTATTTCTATGTAAGCGCTCACAATCATCCTAATATCATATATTATTTGTTATAATACGGTAAATTACATATTTGTTTACTATTGGCAATTCTGACATCGTCAAGTGCAAGTATTCGAGTTTACAACTATTTTATTTAATCTGTTCAGAATTATTTGGTAGCTTTGTGAAACGTAGATAGATTTACAAATCACTGCGAAATATAATCAATTATTACAAATGTCCAATTTTTGTCAGTCATTTTTCCAAACAATATTTTCCACTCCACTTTTTTCTGAGATCGTTTAGAATAATGATAAAATCACAAACAATAGAAATCAAATGCAGTCTGTACTCACAACACTTTGGACTTTTAACGTTTTCATTTAATGGTCAATACTTTTTGATGCGTACTATCTTTTGTTCCCAACAAAAGTGGCTGTTCTATAAAATTTGATAAATTTGTTTTAAATTTTAATAGTATTTTATAATATTTGTATAGGTATTTCTAATAGGCTTCTAATTTGCTATAGCGTTATCTCTGCCCATATTAAACAACTTTCATACTCTTTGCTACAATTGGCGCCAAAATGACATACGAGTTCGTCACAAACGCTAATAGTACAGATATATTCAGTGTGTGACAGAGAAGACGTTATATGAAATTGAAAGTTGTCTCTTTCTAAAGATCGATGCGCGATATTTATCGCCGATTACTTACTTTACTATACAAATTAAATACAACGGACAACTTTTAAATTATACCAGCCAATTCCACGGATACTTTTATATATCTAGCTCCATTAATTATTTAACTTACACTATAATATAAACTGGTGTTGCAATCGTTCGACGACATTTTGAGTGAAATAAATATCATACATATTGAATTTAAATTAAGTTTAATTTTAAATCACGTAAATGTTAGTGGTCGATTGTGAGACGGACGAGGGTGTATAAGAAGATTATTTTGGACCATGACAGGCTGAACGTCATTTTGGGGTCCGCTGAGGAGAAGAATGGGGTCAGTTCTCCGGCGTGCGCGGTGTGGCTCCCGCCGAGGGTGTGGAACTGAAATATATCGCTCACCTGAAAATGGAAACATTGTTAAAATTTTGGCCTAGTAATTTTTTTATTGTTTGACTCGCTTCTGACGCAGCTGATGGGTTCTATACGGGACAATCATGTATGTTTGTGAAACGTCCTTACAACACATGATAATGTTATCGTAAAGTAAGGGTAATGTTTTTTAAAGTAAGGGTAATGTTTTTTCTTCATTATCATTTCCTATTTTTATGATGAAGTAGGGATGAGATGTGGTTCATCTGATGATACTCTTCACTTGAGTACATCCAGAAACAGCACTTGGACCTCGCGCCAGTCTTCTGAGAGGTCGTGGTACTCGTTCGAGCGGACCTGCCCATTAGTGCAACAGCTGAGACTGTTGCGTCGCCTACCACAATAAAGTTGCAAGGGGAGATTTCAGTTTATTACTTGTTGCGCGTTCAGTGTCCACTTTTCATCAACTCCATTATTTCTTATCCAGATGGAGTCTATAAAGCAACAGGATTTAATATCCGCTCGTGCAAACAGTTGTCACATGACGGAATCGTATCCGCGAGTCCAGACGCCGGAGCCAACGCCTCGGCGGCTGCGCCACGGACTAAACATATTGCGTGGAGTTTTAATTATTTTTTATTGTGAGAAAGTCGCAAACGAGCTGGCGGTTCATCTGATGTTAAGCGATAACCGCCGCCCATGGACATTCGCGACACCCGTAGGGTTGCGAATGCGTTGCCACCTTTAAACAAAGTGGGCCCCGGCTACCTCACTCGAGACGAGACGCAGAAGTGCAACACGTCTACTTCCCGCCGGTCTTCTGCGAGGTCGTGGCACTCACCCGGACGGCGCTGCCCATTCGTGCAACAGTGTTGCGTGGCCCTACCACAGTAATCGCTCACCTCGTTCCACCCGTATCGGTTCTTCGCCTGGACGATTGCCTCGTAGACCGCCCCCGGCTGGAGGCCGTGGAGCTCGTGGGCCACGCGGTGGGTCAATGACCCCGCCGGCTCCGGGGCCTGGATGATCACGTCGTGCCACCGGCCAGGCTGCTGGAACGACTCGTTGATCTGCGGGTAGAGTGTTAGCGGTTACTAATATTGTAAACGCGAAAGTTGGTATGTATGGATGGATGTTTGTTACTCCTTCACGCAAATACTACTGAATGGATTCTAATGAAACTTTAAAATAATATAGCTTATACATCAGAATAACACATATACATAAAGATATGTATATAAATTATAGCCTATCTGTCTTTCCGTCTGAATTCTACGCAGACGTAGTCGCGGGCGGTAGCTAGTTTAAAATACACACGCTATACGACTCATGGACAGTGGCATCTTGCAAGTGCTTAGAGACGTACTGAAGGGTATACCACTCACCGCCAGCTGCCGGTAGAGTAGACGGAGCTCGTCCAGCGGCGGGTAGCTGTCCACTGCGAAGGCGAGGGTGTAGCTGGTGGGGCGGCGCGCCAGGGGCGGCGACGTGAAGCGGGCGGGGCCCGGACGGCCAGAAACCTCTACGTGCTGCCTCGCCCGCCCCAGGCTATTGTCTGCCACGCAGCTGCGTATATTTCGAAGACATTTTGCTGAGATCGCTACATAGTATAAAACAAAGTCCCGCTGTCTGTCTGGCCCTATGTATGCTTAAATCTTTCGCAACGGGTCTTGATGCGGTTTTTTGTTTACTAGATTGAGTGATTTAAGAGGAATGTTTGTGTACATTGCACCTGTGTGAAGCCGGGGCGGGTCGCTAGTAATTTATAAAACATAGCTTTTAGCAATTTATACAACTATAACTCAATAACTGCATATATATAATACTTAGCTATAATACGTAGCTCTTCCAGCAGGGCAACAGCCTTAACTTGTAATAATGAAAAACTAACCCGCCGTTGTACGAGTTGAATTTATACTCCTCAAAAACAAATACCAACCACCCCCACTCTAGGGTGTAGGATATCACGAAGCAATAGGTGTCAAACAAACAATTTCCAAATAAATCACAACAAACTGTACTAATAAATTATTGATAAATTATTAATTACATTAAATATGTAAAATAATTATAATAACTTTGCAAAACGTTGTCTAGTCCCAAACTAAGCAAAGCTTTTACTATATACACTAGGCAACTGATGTACATACTCTACTCTTATCTACTTGTGTGAAAAAACCGGCCAAGTTTGAGTAGGCCTCGCGCACGAAGGGTTCCGTACCATCTATAAATACTGCAAAAAAACCATGTTTGATGTACGGGAGACCGAGTTAAATACGTTTTTATTCTGTTTTGTAGTATTTGTTGTAACGGCAACAGAAATACACTATCTGTGAAAATTTCAACGGTCTGACTATCACGGTTCATGAGATACAGTCTGGTGGCAGACGGACAGACAGACAGCGGTCTTAGCAATAGGGTCCCGTTTTACCCTTTGGGTACGGAGCCCTAGAAATGTGTACCTGTAGTTGCCAAAGTCCTCTGGCTGCACATTGGCGATTAGGAGGGTGTGGTTGTTGCCCCTTGCGGACATGGTGACCCTCTCGGAGGCGCTGAGCGGGAACGAGTTCTGGTACCAGGACACCTGGAGCACACGAAGCTGAGTTGCATTTCTGCGACATGCACTTGGATTACCTTCCGCCACTTCATCACAACACATATCCCATGCTGTGGAACTATTTATGAAAACAACATATTCGTATTGTGTTATTTGAGGTAAAGTAACAGTCTTCAGTCAATTTAACGGTAGTAGGGCTACGCAGCAGCCTCGGCTGTTGCACGAATGGGCAGGCTCGTCTGGGTAAGTACCACACCGGAGACCGGAGTAAAGTGGAAGTATAATACTTCCGCGTTTTGTCTGGTGAGTGAGGTGGCCGGAGCCCAATTTTCGAAAGGTTGTTAACGCATCTGGAACCCTCTGGTGTAGCAGATGTCAATGGGTGGCGGTTTTCACTTACATCAGGTGAACCGTCTGCACGCTTGGCAATTTTTCGCATAAAAAAATCTATCTATTTTTTCTTTTAAAAAAAAAAACTGCCCTTACTTTAAGATAACATTATCCTGTGTTGTAAGGACGTTTTACAAGCATAAATTTCACGCGGTCAAACACCCAGATGCGAAGCAACTATCTGTGGGTTACACAAATAGTTGCGAGTGGGAATCGAACCCACGACCCCCGACGCCGAAGCCAATACCTTGGCAACTGCGCCGCGGTGTCATAATTGGTGTAATAAGATTGAAAATCCATAGACTGCTATCTCTTTCCGTATCATATGTTCCATATCATCTGTCACATTCACTTTAATATTGTGATATAATGTAAAACGGAACAATTATTTTACCGTCACGCAGTATGGACATGCGTCACCTTATTAAATCATTGCAGAAAGGAGTATTCTAGTGTGGAAGAGAAGGAATCTTAAAACTAGTTTCAGTTTAAGATTAGAATTCTAACTGATGCCAAAACACTTACATCCGTTATTCACCCTCAATGAGAGTCTATAGTTAAAGACCCTTGCAATTATAAATACTGGAGCCAAAATTGTTAGACTGTATATAGCTACGAGTAGTTCTGGGCCAAGACAATTTAACTCATTGTGACAACTGCCAACTATGATACTCAGCTAAAAGCTCATGTTTAAGCTTACAGCCATTTGGCAAATTCTGCCAAATATCTCAATAAACAGGGATAATAATAACGTTACATTAAACATCGGTATGTGAACTAATTCGGCTAGCTACCACTTGTTTGGAGTAACCAAGTAAGTATGTTTTAATAAAACCGTGGCCAGTAGACGTGCCTTAGTATACACGTCCATATCTTTACTAACGAAAAACAAAACCGACTTCAAATATCTCGCTTTGTATTCATTTTATAATTGATTCTCACGAGTTCCCTACGTATTTTCGGAGCCCAAGATACAATACCAATGAAATTCAAAAGCACCAGTCTTCAAATAAAACGAGAATCATCAAAATCGGTACACCCAGTAGAAAGTTATGAGGTAACAAACATAAAAAAAACACAGTCGAATTGAGAACCTCCGCCTTTTATCAAGTCGATTGAAAATAAATGACGAGTTACTTCAGCGCAAGCCATTTCGTCAGGCGTCACAGAAAACACTTGCCTTTTAGCAAAACGCCAAACGAAGTATGACTTCAAAAATATCTGGCTATTAGAATCATAAGGTTGCAGCTTAAACAAATGTTGTGTACTACTTTCTGGTCTTCCTCTTTCTCCTGTCCTTATCAGATAGGTGGGGACTGGGGTTTTTTACGACCGACCGCCTGCCTGACGTACACCCACCTCCGGAAAGAACAACCAGATCCGGAACAATTGTAAAATACTTGTTCGTCGGGAATCGAACCCACGACGGCCGGGGCCGAAATTAGAGCATTGTCAGCAAGGGACAAAGAACAAGGTCTTTCCGAACCGTTACGACCTGGGAACCTTCAAGAAGAGAGCATACTCTTTCCTATAGGGCCGGCAACGAATTTGTGAGCCCACGGGTGTTGCAGGTGTCTATGGGCGGCGGTGATCACTAACCATCAGGAGAGCCTCCTGCTCGTTTGCCCCTTTTCCCCATAAAAAAGAGAAGTTTGTCAGTTACACAAGTTGTGACCAATTAGTAGCGTAAAAGGGTAAGTATTACCTCGGCGGGTGGATCAGCCAGCACAGTACATAGCAGTTCTGCCCGGAAGCCCTCTCCAGTGTGGACCCACGACCTCTCCACGGTTATCTCCGGCGGATCTGTGATCAGACATAGACAAATACTTTGTTTTAACCGCCAAAATGGAAGCAACAGTCAAATTAAGTAAAACACACACAAAAAGCTATAAAGATTCTCGCAAAAAATAACATGACACATCACATTCATTAATTATTTTGTTTTAATTTTAAACAGTCATACGTGAAGAAACTTTAAAAATCAAAGGCAAAGCCAAAACATCTTTATTATCTTATTATATCCTTCTATACGTTTATTAGTACGTGAAGCAAAACCTTTGTACCCCTTTATACGAGAATTGCATGGACGGAGGAGTATGAAATTTCCCAAATTTATAGTTTATATAATAAAGGCCCATTTACATGGTGCCAGTTTCTTGCCTGTTGTATACAATTAAATTGAAGCAATAAATGAGTTGCATGGTCTAAACAACACATAACATTCTTGACTGTTGAACAAGACTTGCTTCAAGTTTTGTTTCAAAACTTTCCTTGGTGTAAACAGCACAATAATTTCTCAAGCAATTCTTGTATTCAATTGCATTCTCTCTTCCTTTGCAAAAATTAGTGCAATGAGTGAGGGTATTTAATCGTTGCTGTTCTTTTGAGGATAGAAATATTGAGAAAAGGTCGTAAAAAAAAGTTGGATAAAAATATGAATAAAAATATATGGATCATAATAAATAAATCTCAATGAAATATATTTAATCGGCATAATCTAATTTGAACACTTATTATTGAGTCATTTAAAAAAAAAAAAAAACCCTTTGTAAAACGTTCAACACTTGCATGAAAAATTTGTCAACGCAAATACGTGCAATACTTGAAGCAACACGCCAATAAATTGTACACGCACATACAAGCATGTGTTTAGACAAGTCAAAACTTGAAAGCAATAATCGCCTAAACATATTGCATTGGTGTAAACAAAAGACATTTGCAATTATTTCTTGTCAAGACTTGCATTCAATAATCGAATGCGATTATTGAATGCAAGTCTTGACAAGAAAATTAATCTTTCGTTTATTATGTATAGTGTAATCTATTCTAGATTAATATTGTTCATATTTATAATTTAAATAATTTATATTATTATAATTAATATCAAAAACTTCACCAAACTGGACGTGTACTACGAAGAACCGTTAACACGAAGGTGAGTTAGAAGAGTATCTATGTAGCAAATTTTTAAGTGAGTTAACATTTTTATTTTAGCGCTAGTCTCCGCACTCAAGATGAAACTCTTGAATTGTAAATTTATTTGTAGATAAATTAACAATAACATTCGGTACTGCGGGATTCGAATTGCTTCTTCTCGTTTCGAGCCAGACACTTCACCAACTAAGCTAAGCGGCCAATCACCTACTGGCGCGAAAATCTTGACATACATCTACGTTCGTTCTGTTGGATGTTAAAAAATACTATTTATACCTAATTATATACCTAGACAAAACCGCAGGTTCTTTCCCTATATTTTGAAATCATTTTAATAAAACGTTATCGCAGTAACTGCATTGGCAGGATAAATTTTTAATAGGGAAATTAAACAGTTTCCGGGTTATCGTATACAGTTCAGTACACTCGGAAAATTCCAATCATTCAAATTGTTATTTTTTTTGTGAGAAGTGTGTAAACAAGCAAGTAGGCGTTTCGTCTGATCAAAATTAAAAATTAAAAATTAAAAAGACAATAATTTATTCATCGACGTATGAAACATACATTTTATCTATCGATAGTCATTTTTTAGGGTTCCGTAAGGGGTAAAATTTACGGAGTCTTAGTAATAGGGTCCCCTATAACTAAGACTCCGCCGTCTGTCTGTCTGTCCGTCTGTCACCGGGCTGTATCTCATGAGCCGTCCTAGTTAGACAGTTGAAATTTTCAAAGATGATGTATTTCTGTTGCCGCTACAACAAAACATACTAAAACTGAATAAAAAATATTTAAGTGGGGTTCCCATACAACGGACACGTTTTTATAGATAACGGTACGGAACCCTTCGAGCGCGAGTCCCACTCGCACTTGGCCGGTTTTTGCATCGCAAACACCAACGGAATTTTAAAACAACAAGACTCGGCTGAAATTAAAATAAAAGTATTCAGTACCTCGTAAAAAATAAGATATTTTAAGTTAAAGAAGGAATAAATAAATAAACAAAAACATAATAAAATAGTTGAGTAATCAGGGAATGAATAAATGGATACACAAAAATGAATGAATGAATGAACGGAAGTTTAATGAAACGATGACACACCGTTGGAGGACGAATATAACCTGTTATTATATGTTTATAACACTACAGTGCTTGCTCCATTAAGTCGAAAGCTGTCGTGGGGTGAGCAATTAATTATCAATTACGGCACCAACACTACAATTAACACACGACTTAGCATTTTCAATAATTTATGGTGGTAACACTAGTAAAAGTTTCTACAAGTAATAGACATGCGTTAGCTGTTAAAAACGTAAACTAAAATATTAACGCCGACGAAAATAAATTAATTGTATTTATTTATATTGTGTTTGTGGTTTTTATGGGTTCCTGAGGGCGTTAAAAGTTTGCGTAAATAGCGATCAAAAAGCATCATCCGAATTTTATCTATACTCTATACACATAAATAAAATTGGAGTGTCTGTTTGTAATATTAAATTAACCGCTTTTTACTAAATGCATATGGATATATACACGGTACATATACCAAAACAACATTTTTTACAATTTTTGTCTGTCTGTCTGTCTGTTTGTTCCGGCTAAACTCTGAAACGGCTGAACCGATTTGGACGGGACTTTCACTGACAGATAGCTGATGTAGTACGGAGTAACTTACGCTACTTTTATATTAGATTTTTTTTAATTTTAATTTCCATGCGGACGAAGTCGCGGGCGCAGCTAGTCAACAATAATTCTGATCATTTTGGTCACAACAGCGCTGTAGGATTTGTATTTCTTTATGAAAGTTCCTTAGCCCCTGGCTCCGGTGATGGGGATTTGGGTTCTATTCTCACTCGGGACGTGTATTCCCGAGACTCAAGGATAATTGTTCTGGATCTGGGTGTTTGTTTCCAAGGAGGGTTGACGTTAGCGCGGGTGGTATACTTTCGCGATTTTTGTATGTAATAGGGGTACCAGGTGAGCTGTACACCTGATGTTAAGTGATAACCATCGATGGATATGCAGATGCGATGCCACCTTTTAATACAGTGGGTTCCACTTACCTAACTCAGCAGACGAAACGCAGAGTTATAGCACTTCAGGTCTGTCTTCTGCGAGTATGTGGTACTTCCCAGACGGACCTGCCTATTCATGCACTTTTACTTTTGGTGAGTGATTGGCAACGGATCTGCATCCCGCCAGAGTTTGTATATGAGACATGGACGACCATGTATGCTCGCTTGTCATCTTTTCACATAAAAAAAAAACAGCCAGTCATAAGACATGGTCACAGCGCGCTAAAATCGCCAAAAAACTTGTCATTGACAGCACCATTCACATAATTGTCTTTTAACTAATCTCAGACAAGATAGAAGCTGCAGAAAGTTACGTTTATACGCCTAGGTGAAACAAGTAGTCGCTGTTTACGAACCGGTTCGTTCGTCGTATATTTTCTCGCCGCACGCGAACCGCGACGCTTATCATGCCGTACTTGAGATTCACATCGGAGCGGATTACTTCGTCGGCCTTTAGGAGTACCTGGGGGCGTTTAATCCCGGCACCGCGGTTCCTCGAGCTTCCCCGGAAATTGGATTCCGGGCTGACGTGTTAAATTAAATCTCCGGCGCTGGGGGGCGGTTATAGGTTTACCGTCGACGAAAAGGTTCCCGCCGGGACAAGTCACGAGATGTAGCGTCGCCAACTCTGCTATATGAAGTTAGCCTGAAGACAAGGTCTTTTTATCAGCGCTCGAGTTGATTGTTGACGTTGTTGTTGTTAAATATATATACAAGTCTTGAAGATTAAATGTTAAGAGTTTTTCCTTTCTCAATAAAATAACCATTTTTTTACAAACGAAAAACAAAACCGACCTCAAATATCTCGCTCTGTATACATTTTATAATTGATTTTCAGGATTTCCTTAAGTATCTCCAACACCAATGAAATTAATATCGGACCACATGGGGAGCACTTAGCTTTCAAATAAAAAAAGAACCGTCTAAAGCGGTTCGCTCAAACAAACATAAAAAACTATAGTCAAATTGAGAACCTCCTTCTTTTGAAGTAATGTGTTTGGTTATTTATTAATTGAACGGATTAAGCTTGAATAAGTAGTTGGAGCTTGTGTTAACCCTCACGAGATGGGGCTATTCACCAAACGGTCGTTTTCAATATTCTAGCTATCTGTAGATTTGGCTACTGGGGATAGACTTTTGACATTAGTATTATGGAGCTAATGTCAAATACCTATAGCCAGTGACCAAGTCTGGAAACCTTAGTCCTTAACGTGATAGGTAATGCGATTGGGGCATTGAACGCTCAATAATGTAAAACGTGTCTGTGTGTACTTATGTACGCACGTAAGAATATATACTTCTATACCGTAAGAAAAGAAAAATAACTAAAGATTTTACCCCGTGTGCCAGTGCCCATTGTGAGAAGACATTAAATGCAATTGAATACATTAAATGCAATATTGTAAATAAATTAAATTTTGAAAAATCATTTAATGAAAAAAATTGTAAACAAACAAATGTAAATACAGAGGATAACGTAGGTAACTATAACAATCGGCAGAATTGGCATAGTTTTTCAAATGTATAACTTTAAAATTCCTGAAAAGAATGAACTAAAATAGATTATTACCGGCCACAGATCTTATTTTAAACATAGGGAATTCGGCTAACCTCACTCATTCCATAAAACGCAGTTTCGATACATATTTTTACTGAAAATAAGGATGAAATTACTTTGACAAACATATATGCTCATTGAAATATTTTAAATTATATTCCATCGTCTAAACACAATACCATTAACACACGCCTCGACAAGCACACAGCCACACTGTATATGAGCAATCCATACTAAT